CAAAAAAAGCGGCCCACTCAAAAAGAGGGCCGCTTTTTAAAAAATAGGTAAAACAAGCTTTATTTAAGCTTGGAACCTTTATACGTCACGTGCTTGCGTGCAACGGGATCAAATTTAGTAATTTCTTTCCCGATCAACGTAGAGGTGAGCGTAGTGTAGAAGTGCCCTGTGCCGGCTGTGGATTTCAGCACGGTTTTTTGGCGTTTATTACTTTTAGCCATGGAGACCATTTCCTTGCAAAAGAGAGGCTTGTAGTCACAAAGCGCTATAGCAGCCTGTTCCTAATACTATTAGCCGATATATTGAACCAAAGCAAAACAGTGCTGAACCCAACTGGTGGGACGCTTACATGCCGCACTTTGGTGACGTAAAAAGGAGTGCTTACGTGTATTAATACACGCCATACGGATCATTCACGGCGGCTAGCACTGCCTCGATCCCATATTTATCGATAATACGCAAGCCTGCATTGGATACGCGAAGGCGTACCCATGCTTTTTTGCTTTCTACCCAGAAACGACGGCTATGCAAGTTGGGTAAAAAACGACGTTTAGATTTATTGTTTGCATGGGAAACTTTGTTGCCGCTCATCGGCCGTTTTCCCGTTACCTGACATTCGCGCGTCATGAAGTCTTCCTTCGATACCTAAAAAACATCGACCTCCCGACTATCGGGAGGTCGAAGGAAAATATATTCCAAATGGGAAGTAAATTAGATTGGTCGGGGCGAGAGGATTTGAACCTCCGACCACCTGCACCCCATGCAGGTACGCTACCAGGCTGCGCTACGCCCCGAAATCTATGCTAAAGCCGAACTTCGCAAAGGGCGCGATTGTAACAATAAAAAAATAATTTTGCTGCGTATCTACCGCTTTAAAGTGCACGGAAATGATTAAAAATTATAGTCATAGCGTAAATAACACTATTTTTACCCATTTATCCCAAAAATTACGCTTGGCTATTACAGGCAACTTCAACGGATTCGACCTGTTTTTTTAATTTAGGACTGGCTGTAAAAGTCACTACACGGCGGGGGGCAATGTCAACCCGAGCACCTGTCTTGAGGTTAAGCCCAGGGCGGCCTGATTTATCGCGCAATTGAAAATGCCCAAATCCAGATAATTTGACGTTTTCATTGCGCGATAGCGTATCGATGATGGCGGAAAAAAAATTTTCTACCAAATCCAATGCATCCTGCCTCTTCATCTGTGTTTGCTCAGCTAAAGTGGCAGCTAATTTGGCTTTAGTGAGGGTACTTGAGTCCATAGTTAACTACGCAAACGCGCACCATGTTGCGCCGTTAATGCTTCTAAAAGCGTGTGCACCGCAAGCTCCACAATCTCATCTTGCAATGTTGCATCATCCGCTTGTAGCGTGATGCGAAAAGCCAGACTTTTTTCTTGTGGCTGCAAGGTGCTAGGGGCCGATTCGCCAGATTGCAGTGCCTCTGCTTTAGGTTCTGCAGGAGGGTGAAATACGTCAAAAAGTTGAATGTGCTGAATATAGCGACATGCTTCTGTTTGGCGTTTTTCCCCGTGCGTTCCATGCCAGGCTGCATGCAGCGTATCGAATAAAGCTTGTGACGATATAGCTTTGTTCACGATAACGGCAATATCTCGCGCTACAGGCTGAAATTTAGAAAGGGTAGGCGCGTGAGGAACAGTGCGCTCTAGAAGTGCCTGCATTGCTATTTCAAATACGATTGGAGCTTGAGGCAAGTCGTAGCGCGCCAAATGTTTGGGGTGCAATTCTCCTATCCACCCCACTGTTTTCCCTTCTACCTCAATACGTGCGCTTCGCCCGGGATGCAATGCGGGGTGCTCAGCAGCTATAAAACGGGGTAGGAGCGGTGCAAAAAGCGCTTCAATATCGCCTTTTACATCAAAAAAATCTACTTGATTGGCAGGAGAAGAGGTCGATTTACTGGATTTGATTCCCCACTGCACAGACCAAGCGGGTCCATAGGCTAAGCCACCAATATATTGAGGTTGATTAAAGCCGATAACGGAAGCTTCACTGGCTGTGATACTTGCGTCTCTCAAAAAGAGTCGACCTACTTCAAAAAGGCGTACACGCTCTGCTTTGCGATTGAGATTGTGGCGCAACACCTGTACCAAGCTGCCTATGAGCGTGGTGCGCATCACAGATAAAAAGCCTGATAAGGGGTTTACCACTTCAATAGGCGTTTGTTCGACATAAGGGCTGAAGTCTTGCTCCCAACTAGGGTCGACAAAGCTAAAATTGATTGTTTCATGATATTCGCGTGCGGCTAATTGATGCCGAAGCGCATGGATAGGGCGGCGATTTTCCGGCGCTTCACGCAGAATGTGCGAGGCTTGAGGCATGCGTACAGGTAACGCGTCAAAGCCATAGACACGTGCTATCTCTTCGATCAAATCCACTTCGATCGCGATGTCAAATCGCCAGGCAGGAGGCGTGACGTTAAAGACTTCTTCTAGCGTTTGATTGGTGAGATTTTCTTTTTGAGTACGCTCAAAGGGTAAATCTAGACGGTGAAAAATATCGGCAATTTCGTCCGCGCTTATCGCAACACCTAAAATGCGTTCAACTTGCGCTACACGTAATTGCACGGTAGGGTGCTCTGGTAGCTGGATGATCTGATCATCAACAGGC